GGAGCTGGGCTGCCGTGGGTCGCCGGTGACTGCGTGGGCTGCAGTCCCTGTGGCAGTGGATTGCCATGGGCTACCGTGTGTGGCCAGCAGCCAGCGTGAGCGGCCAGCAGCCGCAGTGAGCAGCCGTCCAGAAGCCGGCGACTGATCTGCCTCGCCAGAGAAGAGCGCAATGATGGTGCCAACTTGGGCCAGTGAAGCAACATCCTCCACAACTAGATTGAAGAACAAAACGACAGCAACTTGTCTGTTCCCCTTCCCCCAACTCCCCAGCACTGTTCCCATCCCCCCAATTCCCCAATAAAAAATCTTAAAAAAAAAAACAGCATGGGACTGGCATAAAAACAGACACATAGATAAATGCAACAGAATGGAGAGTCCAGAAATAAACCCATGCCTGTATAGTCACTTAACCTATGACAAAGGAGGCGAGAATATACATTGGTGTAAATTCAGTCTATTTAATGAATGGTGTTGAGAACCCAAGTGGACAAATACATGCAAAAAATTAATCTGGACCACCTTCTTACACCATATACAAAAATAAACTCAAAACGGATTAAACAGTTAAATGTAAGACCTGAAACCGTAAAACTCGTAGGAGAAATGTAGGCAATAAAATCTCTGACATTGCTCTCAGTAACATTTTTTTCTGATATATCTCCTTGGGCAAAGGAAACAAAAGAAAAAATAAATGGGACTACATCAAACTAAAAAGTTTTTGCACAGCAAAGGAAACCACCAACAAACAAAAAAGACAGCCTACTGAATGAAAAAAGATATTTGCCAATGACACACTAAATAAATGCTTAATATCCAAAGTTTATAAAGAACTCATACAACTCAACACCAAAAAACCAAACACTCCAATTAAGAAATGGGCAGAGGACATGAAGAGACATTTCTCCAAAGAGGACATACCAATGGCCAATAGACATATAAAAAGATGCTCAATGTCACTAATCATCAGTGAAGTGCAAATTAAAATCACAATGAGATATCACCTCACACCTGTCAGGATGGCAATCATCAATAAATCAACAAACAACAAGTACTGGCAAGGATGTGGAGAAAAAGGAACCCTTGCGCACTGTTGCTAGGATTGCAAATTGGTGCAGCCACCATGGAAAACAGTATGGAGGTTCCTCAAAAAATTAAAAATAGAACTACCTTATGACTCAGCAATTCCACTCCTCGGTATTCATATGAAGAAATCCAAAACACTAATTTGAAAAGATATATGCACCCCTATATTCATTGCAGCACTATTTATAATAGCCAAGATATGCAATCAACCCAAGTGCCCATCAATAGATGATTGGATAAAGAATATGTAGTACATTTATACAATGGAATATTACTCAGCCATAAACAAGAATGAAATCTTACCATTTGTGACAACATGGATGGATCTAGAGGGTATTATCCTAAGTGAAATAAGTCAGTCTGAGAAAGACAAATACCACATGATCTCACTTATATATGGAATCTAAAGAACAAAATAAACAAACATAACAAAAAGAGACTCGTAGATACAGAGAAGAAACTGATACTTGCCAGAAAGAGGGGTGGTGGTGAGCTGGGTGAAAAAGGTGAAAGGATTAAGAAATACAAATTGGTTGTTACAAAATAGTCACAGAAATGTAAAGTACAGCTTAGGAAATACAGTCAATAATGTTTTAACAACTATGTATAGTACCAGGTGGATACTAGACTAATTGGGGGGACCACTACATAAATTATATAAATATATAACCACTATGCTGTACACCTGAAACTAATATAAAATAATACTGAATGTCAACTATAATTGAAAATAGTAACAATAATAATAATTTTAAATTCCATATGTAGCAATAACTTGCCCAAATAAGCTACAAAAAATTATTTTTAAAAAATTAAGGAGAGGATACTCATATACCTTTCTAGATATCACTTAGAATTACAATAATCAAAACAGAATATGTCTACAGGAACAAACAAGTCCATCGGTGAAAAACTTTGGAGAACAGGAAAGTATCTAAACATTTTGGGAACTTAACATATCATAAAAATATATTTAAATTTAGTTTGGTTTATTTCATGAATGAGGCTGGTATAATTGTCTAGTCAGTTTTCTAAACCTCTACCATAGTTAGCAATTAACTGCAGACAGATTAGTGACCTAACAGAACGAATGGAAGGAGAGAAGGAAGGAAGGAAGTCAGTCTGGGGAAAATTTAGGAATGTTTGTACATTCTTCCAGTAAAGGTGACCTTTTAAACATTCTAGAAACCCAGAATGTTTATGGGGTCACCATATGAAGGTCTCCCTTCTTAAGGTTTGAAGTAGGAGGAGAATTTATAATATATTTGTTAGACAAGATGTTAAGACTTCCAACATGTGAGGAGTTCTTACAAATTAATAAGAAAAAAAAATGGGCAAAGGATATAAATATGCAAATGAAAGAAGAGGCTAATAAACATACAATTGCTCTCACTAGCAATAAGAATAATGTGAATTAGAGTAATAAGAGCTATTTTCCATCCATCAGATTGGCAAAAATTAGAAAAAGGGTTATCTAGTTATGATAAGAATATGAGAAATTGGACCTTTCCAAACAGCTAGAACAAGAATAAATTGCTTTAACCTTTTGGCAATGAATCTGGTATTGTCTACCAAAATACCAAACGAATATATACTTTGACTTAACAATCCTACTTTAGGGACTCTAACCAAAGTAAAAGCATTAGTACATAGAAAATATGTATAAAAACATATGTTGCAGATTAATAATGGAAAAAAAATCAAATTGAGAATGGGTGAATTTATTATAGTATTTCTATAAAATGGAATATTAGGCAGCTATTAACATGATGTTAGAATATGCATTAACATATATATATAACATAGTGTAAGTTTACAAAATAAAGTTACAAAGTAACTTATAGCACAATTTTTATTTAAACTTTAAACAGAAAATCTATGGTTTTTTATGTCCATAGAGAAACTTAATATTTATTACCTCTAAGTCAAGATTTCAGATGATGAAAAGAAATTACTTTTTCTTTGTATCTCTTTGTATTGACTTTTATTAATAGGGCATATATTAAGTAATTTAATTTTTTTGAATTTAGAGTTTTTAAATATTTTATTAAGTACCGAGTTAGTTAAAATAATAGTTAAAAATATCTTTAAAGTATAAAATAATAACAATCTAAAAGACAGCATTTTATTGCCCTCACTTCCTCATGTGCCCTTCCCCCCCCCATCAGGAATAACCACCATTCAGGATTGTGCTAGCATTCCTTTAATTTTGCTTGTTTGTTTTGCTTACCACATATGCTGTTTTGCATATCCTGCAAATTTATATAGATGGAATCATTCTTTCTTTTAAATCTTGACTTTTATGCTGAGACTAATCTAAATGAATTTGTTCAGCTTCAGGTTATACAAACATACCACAACTAATTCATCTATTCTAGTGTTGAAGGACATCTGAGTTTTGTGGGGTTTTTTTGCTTGTTTGTTTGGGTTTTTTTTTACACATTATGGCTATTACAAATAAAGACAGCATGAATATTCTTACATGTGTCATCTGTTTCAGAAGGTGAAGACTTTCTTCTCCAAGGTAAATAATTAGAAAAGGAACTGCTAGGGCATATATGTGTGCATTTTTAAAATGCCAAGTTGTTTTCTATTGTGCCCCATATTCACCAATACTGACTACTGGCACAATTTTTAATTTTTAACTATTAGCTTGGTGCAAACATAATTGTGGTTTTTGCATTGTTCAAATTTGCCTTTGATATTGGAATACATTCTTACATAAATGTGGTTATGTTATACATAATTTTAATGTGCATTTCTCGCTTTATGTTTTTTTCCTAATGACTTATTACTTGCTGTTTATTTTATATGTATTTTAGACATGGAAATGATGTTAGAAAAAGCAAATTCAAGTGATTTCCTTATTCAAGTTCAAAATGGGTCGTAAAGCAGGACAGACAACTTGCAATATCAACCCACTTGGCCCAGGAGCTGCTAATGAACGTACAGCGCAGTGGTGGTTCAAGAAGTTTTGCAAAGGAGAGGAGAGCCTCGAAGATGAGGAGCATAGTGGCTGGCCATCGGAAGTTGACAATGACCAGTTGAGAGCAATCATCACAGCTGATCCCTCACAACTACACCAGAAGTTGCCGAAGAACTCAATGTTGACCATTCTACGATTATTTGGCATTTGAAGCAAAACTGGAAAGGTGAAAAAGCTCGATAAATGGGTGTCTCATGAGCTGACCGCAAATCAAAAGAATCATCATTTTGAAGTGTCGTCTTCTCTTATTCTATGCAACAAGGAACCATTTCTCAATCGGACTGTGATGTGTGATGAAAAGTGGATTGTATACGACAACCGGCACTGACCAGCTCAGTGGTCCAAAGAAGCTCCAAAGCACTTCCCAAAGCCAAACTTGTACCAGAAAAAGGTCATGGTCACTGTTTGGTGGTCTGCTGCTGGTTTGATCCACTGTAGCTTTCTGCATCCTGGTGAAACCATTACATCTGAGAAGTCTGCTCAGCAAATCGATGAGATGCACTGAAAACTGCAACGCCTGTGGCTGGCATTGGTCAACAGAAAGGACCCAATTCTTTTCCACAACAACGCCCGACCACACATCACACAACCAACACTTCAAAAGTTGAATGAATTGGGCTATGAAGTTTTGCCTCATCCACCATAGTCACCTGACTTCTCATCAACTGACTACCACTTCTTCAAACATCTGAACAACTTTTTGCAGGGCAAACACTTCCACAACCAACAGGATGCAAAAAATGCTTTCCAAGAATTCTTCAAATCCCAAAGCATGGATTTTTATGCTACAGAAATAAACAAACATATTTCTTGTTGGCAAAAACGAGTTGATTATAATGTTCCTATTTTGATTGATAAAGATGTGTTTGAGCCTAGTTATAATGATTTAAAATTCACAGTCCAAAACCAAAATTACTTTTAACCAACCTACTATCTAGTCAGTCTACATTGTTATTCCACTGTGATTTAATTTTCGCTTCCCTGATTCAAGATTAGATTTGAATCCAAGATTTCCATATTTCCTCCTCTGTGAAGTGCCCATTGGTGTCTGTTCTGTCTTGGTCAGCTTGGCTGCCATAATAAACTACTATACACTGGGTAGCTTAAACAACATTTATTTCTCACAGTGCTGGAGGCTGGAAGTGTAAGATCAGAGTGCCAACATGGTTGGGTTCTTGGTGGATGCCCTCTTCCTGGTTTACAGATGGCTGTTTCTTCTTGCTTCCTTACTAGTCCCTTTATCCCTTTATAAAGACACCAATCCCATCATGAGGGCTCCACCCTTATGACCCCATTCAAACTCAATTACATTCTAAAGACCCCACCTCCAAATGCCATCACACTGTGGATTATAGCTTCAACATACAAATTTGGGGGAACACAACCATTCAGTCCAAGGCATTCCTGCCCTGGCCCCCAGAGTTCATGTCTTTCTCATATGCAAATTATATTCATTCTATCCCAACAGCCCCCAAAGTCTTAATTTGTCCAGCATCAACACTCAAGTCTAAAAACCAAAGCTTCATCTGAGTATCACCTAAATCAATATGGGTGAGACTGGGGGCAAGAATCATCCTAAGGCAATAACTTGAGGGGTGGAGGAAATGTACTACACACCTCGATGATAGTGGTAGACCTTGGTTCTAACCTCATAGCAGTGTATGCTAAAAGGGTGATTTTACTACAGGTAAATTATGCTTCAATACTTTAAAAGTATTTTTTGTAAAGACTTCATATTATTCAATAAGTATTCACTAATTCCATAGTGTAATATTGCATTAATTAGATTTTATATTTTTAAAATTAAAAACATTTATTAGAGAAGATGATTCTGCCACTTGATGGGAGGTTGAAATGGGTGATCTCTAAAGATCCTCTCTAAATACAAAATTTTTGAGGTATGTATGTGATCCCCTTACCACACACACAAAAGTTTATACATATATCTATGTGTATATATATATATATATATTCATTCTTGGTTATATTTATGTATATATTATACATAAATGTAAATATATATACACAGAAAAAATTTGGAATATTCTTCAGTATTATGATTTATTTTATTAGACATAATGCTATTTCCTTTTTTCCCCACAATATGTGATTACCTGTAATCCAAAAAATGTTATGAAGTGTATACTGTGCAACAAATTAAAATTAAGGAAATGAGAAGGTGATATTCAAGTCTGTTCAATCTATAATCCCTAGTTTAAGAAAATACAAATAGTTCATTTTATTAAATGTCATGTTTGATATATTAAAATAAAGAAAGTATAGAAATTTGCCCTTATGAATGTGGGCTGTGGCGTGTTTTATTCATTTTTAAAAGAAAATCCTAGAAAACCATGTTTTCCCCATTTTAAAAGCTTTCCTGGCTCCTTCCGGCATTTACTCGTATATTAGAAATTTCTTTGTGCGTGCCTCTGAAATACGGCTTCTTCAGGAATATCCTAGTAGAAATAGAATGAAGTCATACCAGGAAGCTGAGGAGAAGCCGTCTGGGATGGCCCTGCTAGCCCTTCATGCTCACTGTTCCACTTGTCTCTGAGGAAGGAGTCTCTGGCTATCCACATGCTGTGCTTACTCTCACTAGAAAATAAATTTATATATTTGTTCATGGTGTCAAAGAATGTATACATTTAAGAATCTCTGATAATTGACAGTAATTATTAAGTTGACATTCACCTCCATTTCAGTTCAGCCACCCACTTCCTTTGTCAACACCTGGAACTGGCCCACTTCCAAAGAGAGAATCCCCAAATCCCAAAGTCAGATCATAAACTCCATTTCCTCCCACTTTTACCTGGCTTGCAAACTAGCCACCTTGGATCTATCCACCTTGTTTTCTCCTTCACCTAGGCTGTGGGGAAACAGTTTTGGGGTCACTGGGGTTTCTAATATCAGCAGAGAGCCATTTAGAAAATACTGGTGTATTCTTGGTTCAGTTTCCTCTACCATTCCTCCACTGCAGCTAATTCTGAACTACTACCCTTGTAAAAAAGTAGGCCCTTCTAGAAAATGAACGCCAGAAACAAGAACTCTCAACGTACTCTCTTTTAAAATGTATACTTAGATGCATCAGCACTCTTCATTACTCCTTATGTTCTTCCCATTCAGAATTAATCCTTCCACATTTTTAACTCCATGCCTTCTGTCTCCTCTCAGACACTTTTCTATAATTATCTTTATGTATATAATTAATTTCTCCCTATCTATAAATTCTTGCATATTATAAGGATATTTGATTCTCTCTCATCGAAAACATAGAAAGCCCTTTAAACTTGCTATTTCCATCTAACTACTGCTCTCTTGCTAACAGATTTTTCAAATATTAGCCCACACTTGCTTTCTGCTTTCTAACTTCTCACTACTCAGTGTATTCACTTATGCTATCTGCTTGGCTCTTGGTGTACTTTCATTTGAGGCCTCACTTAACAAAAGCCTTCTAATTTGACTTCTGAGTCTAATCTCCAGTGTCTAGAGAAAATTCTCCCTAAAATCCAAATTTACTTAGACCTGCTTATTAACTTCAGGATAAACCAAGGCTCCTTACTGGACACATAAGTTTAAGATGTCAGAAATCTGGTGGTCCCTGCCTCCTTTTTCGTCATCTCTACTAATTTCCTTCATGCACTTCCTGTTTGTTATTTCCTTCTTTTTTCGCTTCTTTGGGTAATCTCATGTTTCTTTCTCTTTCTCCTTCCCATCTTTTCTTGGATTACTGTAAATATCTAATTATTCTCCATTTCCTGCCAGTTATCTTCCACCTTGCTACCAGAAATCCTCTTCCTAGATTAGACAGTAGATAGATAGATAGGCAGACAGATAGATAGATAGATAGATAGACACTCCATCTGTGCTTTATTTTCATTCTATCAGACAGAATAAAATGTATACTCCTTGGTTTCACATATATCAATTTCTTCATACTCGTGCTCACATTATATTTTTGGCTTTACCTCTCATCTTCTCAAGTTTTCTGGCATTCCAATTCATACATACCCTACAACTCTTAACGTGTAACATTTCTCACCCTTAAAATATATTTTCACAACTCCTTACCTTTGCTCAAACTTCTTCCCCCAGCTTGAAATTTTCTTCCCTCTCTTTTCACCTGCTATATATTTCTATTTATTGAAGAACCTAAATCCAACCAAAATATCTCTTCTTCAGAGAGCTGGTGAGGCACTCCCCCACCAAGCATAATTTTCTGTCTTCTGTACTCACAGTCCTTGGACTTTATAATACTATTTACCACATTGTATTTAAATTTGTCTTTTCATATCTGTCTCCCTAATTAAACTGTAAACTGAAGAATGAGAACTATGTAATATTTTGCATTTGTACACAGTGCTTAGTATATAGTATCTACTATTAGCATTTAATAGTATCTGTAATTGCCTTTTTGAATTAATATTATTTATTTGTTCATTTAATGCATTTCTGAAAGTTGTACATACAAGGTTCAAACTATACATTCTTATGCAGTGCTATTTCAGTGACTATAGCTAATGTTACTTAGAAATCTCTAAGGAAAAATGACTCAATAAAATGTTTCCTTATTTGATGTGTTTTTGCATATAAATTTGAACATTTTATAAACATGAAAGCTGTCGTTTCTTTTGTTTTTCTGATGGAAATTTACTTTTCTCCTGGTTCTTTTTTTTAAAAACACAGAGTACCAAGAATTCACCATGCTAAGAGTCCAGTTGTTTCTAGCACATTATTTTCTTTCTGGAAACAGATACAATTTCTAATAAAATGTCACTGTGTACTGAGCTTTACCTTAAATCAAGTAAGCATGGAATTGCTGAGATGATAAAGAAAGTGAATTCTGTAGGAAAATCTTTCTCTTATGTTATCATCATCAGTACATCCTATTTCTAGCCAAATCAGGTTATACTTACTACAAAGAGCTATAGCTTGAAAAAGATATATCAAACTTTTGAAGGCCATTATTTACTGCCTCCACTTAGAGGGCTAGCTAGCTATGAATATGAATAAATAGGAAACTAAGTAAACATATTAGTTATACCTTTCTGTAGTCTCTTTAAAAAGATCCTCATAATGACTATGTTGGAAATCCCGAAAAGAGGGTTTTATCTCCTGTGAAAGAATATAAAATTATGGCTAAGATTTCAGAAATGTAAAGTTTAAAATAAATATGATTTATATAGCTTAATGAAAACAATAAGTTAAGAAATTGGCAGTTATAAAAATAGTCAAGGGGTTATAAAGTACAGCAAAGGGAATAGAGTCAATAATATTGTAATAACTATGTATGGTGCCACGCAGGTACTAGACTTATCTGAGTAATAACCTCCTAAGTTATATAGATGTCTAATCACTATGTTGTACACCTGAAACTAATATAATATTGTAGTCAATTGTAACTGAAACATTTTTTAAATTATAAAAAAAGAAAAACATTAAGGTCCTCAATAATAGAATTAAAACCATAATCACAGTGATTTTTAATCCTAGAAAATCATTTGAAATGTGCATGTCTCTACTAAATATTTTCTAATCTGTCAAAACAGAATACACAGTACTATACATATACAAATGAGTTTTATTGAATCACACAAGTTATTTTCTAAAAAAGCTTCATTTTTATTAAAAAAACAAACTTCAGCTCAGAGGAGATTCTTACAAGGAGTGCTTATCACATTTAGTTTACTGTAAATCTACAATTCCCAACACTGATTTATTTGAGTATTTACATAATCTAATCTCGTAATTCTAAGCATGCCTGGGCCATGGGATTTAGTACTGCCCAATAGACTTTAGTCCTCTTTGTTGCATTTGCAGCCTCCTATACAGTACATGGCCCATCATTAAACAAAACTGAATATAATTAGAGGGGAAAAAACACATTAAAATAAAGATTCAGTGATCAATATTTTAGCCCTCAGTTCTCTTTCAATTAATCCATCCATTTGACACTTCTGTTTTGAGGGCCTAGTATGTGCAGATACTGTTCTAAATGTGAAGGGTAAAAAAAAAACGGAACAAGACAGGCTTGTGTTCATTCTGCCCTTATGGGGCATATATATTCTCATGGAGAGAAAAAACACACAAGCAAGCATATAAAAATTATAGCGGGCAACAGGTGTTAATGCAGTAACCGTATGGTGATACATAACAGCCAGGTACCTAAAAAATAAAAGGATGAACAAAGAGACAGGGAAGCGTCCTGAGCAAGAGGAGCAGGTCTGAAGCATAGGCCGCCTTCTGTGTCTGGCTTCTGCCTACTCCCCACTCTCATCTCAGACCCTCTACTTCTCACACAGTGTCTCAAGCCACAGCCTGTGTGCTATCTTTTCAGTTTTTTGGAAGTGTCTTCTAATGACTTTGATTTTGTAAAACGTATTTATCTTTTCCCCTCTTGCTAGTGCATATGTGTTTTGCTTAATTCCATGAAATTTTCTAGGCCTGGAGTACCTCTTACAGGCATTTATAAAGCCATCATTCCAAAACATGGGCCAAAACACAATCAATTTTACAAACAAGCCTGTTAATGGAAAGATATGGACAACTACCTAGCACTCCTATCAAGCATGTTCATTTTGCTGAACAAGTTAAAACATATAACATATTAAGTTTTTAGCATAACATGAATAATTATTGCCTGAAATATAAAGTTAGCTTACATTTTAACAATCACTTTATCATTTTACAATAGATTAAATTCTAGGGCCAGCCAAGTGGCTCAGTTGGTTAAGAGCTCGCGCAAGAGTGCGAGCTCTGAGCAACAGCAGTTCGATGCCCCGCCCGAGCTGAGTTGTCGCTGAGCTGCCACCAGGTGGCAGGATGGCTCAGCTAAAAAAAAAAAAAGACAAATTCTAGATTACCAAATTGCCATTTTGAATAATAAATAAAAAACACATTTTAAAAATACTTTCCTATGCAAGTAAGAAAAACATCAACTCTTATATATTTTTCTAAAATATTTTAAGCTTTGCTTTTAATATTTAGGGATTTAATTCTCCTAAAACCCATTTCAGTATAAAGTGTACTGTGTCCACTCCACTCAACCACCAACAATGACCTTGCATTCAACTGGACATTCACAAGATCCAGTAGGCCACACCTGGACTCAGGTGAGCTTTGCAGAAGGACACAGAAGAGGAGCCTCAATGGGTCAGCAGGACAACCCTAGGCTTGCCCTCATCAGGAGTCCTAACAGATTTCTAGTGTCAGCTCAGGTGGAGGCAGTGAGACCACATGGGAGGGTACTTAAGTCATCCTGGCTTAGCAACCTCAAGCTGCACAGGAACCAGTATCTCTCATAACAATTCATGAACCTGAACTCTGGGGATCCCACATTCACCATATTTGTACTTTCAACAAGAGAATTATTGTCCTACTCATAATCTTTCCAGTCCAGGAATCATTTTTACTATAACCAATGCTGCCAGGTAACACAGCTGATAGTCCACCCCTTGTCAGGATTCCAGAGAAACAGTATGCTAGAAGGCTAACACAAGATCATATTCTCATTGTGAAGAAGAAAAGGTTCTGCTAAACTTTACTCACAGGTAGTAATGTAGTTCAGCTTCTATTGGAATAACCAAATGTACCAGCAACCTTAATTAAACAGACCATTCTATCTGCAATGCTACCTAGCCCATACAAAGTTCCCATATGGGCCTGGGGGGTTTTCTGTAATTTCTATACACTTTCATTGGTCTTACTTCACACCTCCTATACTATTACCACATTTCCTTAATTCCTATAGCTTTATAATAAGTCTTTTTTTTTTATTGTTAGTTTCAGGTGTACAGAAAAATGCAATAGTTATCCTTTTGACCCTCACAAAGTAACAACCCCCCTCCCCCCATGTATTGCCCTCCCATCCCCGATATCATGCTTATCTATTACCATTCCATTGATTCCAATCCCCCTCTCTATTCCATGTCCCAAGACTAAATGTATATATAATTATAGTTGACATACAATCTTATTCAACATCATTTTCAGAAATACAGTGCGGTGGTCAGACCTCTTCACCGACCATGAAGTGGTCTCCCCAACAGGCCATGAGTCCATCTGGCCCCCTAAGAAATATTTACAACATTACTGATTATATTCCTCAGACTGTCTTTTCCTATTCCTGAGGCCATATTGTATTTACCATATTGTATTGTCTCGTCCCTTCCCCTTCTCCTTCATCCCCACCCCCTCCCAACTAACAACCCTCAGTTCTTCCTCTGTGTCTCTGAGATTATCTCCATCCACCTCTCCCATCCATTCAGTTCCTTAGAATCCGCGTATAAGTGAGATCATATGATATTTGTCTTTCTCTGACTGACTTATTTCACTTAGCATAATGTTCTCTAGTTCCATCCATATTGTTGCAAAAGGTACTATTTCCTTCTTCTTTATAGCTGCGTAATACTCCATTGTGTAAATGTACCAAAGTTTCTTAATCCAGTCATCTACCGATGGGCATTTTGGTTGTTTCCAAGTCTTAGCTATTGTGAATAACGCTGCAATGAACATAGGAGTCTTGATAACCTGCAGTGCCAGTCATCCCTCCACCACATACACACTTTTCCTTCCTTACCTAATACTGTCTTACTTGTCCTTGGTCTTCTGTTTTCCCAAGACTTTGAATAAACTGGACTTTGAATAAACTGATCAAATCTCTCTCTCTCTCTCTCTCTCTCTCTCTCTCTGTCTCTCTCTCTGTCTCTCTCTCTCTCTCTCTCCTCTTTTTCTCTCTCTCTTTCACACACACACACACAACTTTGAAATTTATATTAAATTAAGTTAAATTAATTTTGTAGTTTAAATTAGGGATAACTGTTATCTTTATTATATTAAGTCTTATTATCCATTAATATGATATAGCTCTCCATCAAAACATTTTATAATATTCTTGATAAAGGCAATTCAGACCTTTTCTTAGATTTACTCCTATATGCTTTATAGCTGGTATCATTGTAAATATAATGATACAGATCACACCATTATATTTGCTCACCATTGCACAATGAGAATACCACAAGTTTTAATATATAGTAGTTTTGCATTTATTCTAAATATTTTATATTTCTTTTGTGATTTCTTCTTTGACCCATGAGTTTAAAAGTGTCTTTAAATTCCAAATGTATTTTTCATCTTTTTGTAGTTGACCTGATTTTCTTTATGTCAGAGACCACAGTCAGTACTATAAGATTATTTGACATTTGTTGAAATGTATTTTGGTTTGGCACCTGGTAAACTTTTATAAATGATCCATGTATATTTGAAAATAATGTGTGTTCTCTAATTTTTGGATGCAAGTTCTATATATGTTCAATATATCTAGCTTAATAATTCAACTGTTTTGTAATTTCTGTTCTCTTAACTAATTATTTAATCTATTCATAAGAGATATTTTTAAATGGTTTACTATTACAGTGAATTGATCAAGTCCTCTTTGTAATTCTGTCAAATATTAATTTATATATTCTGCAGCTGTTATTAGGTACTTACGAATTTAAAATTTTATATCTTCCTTATGAAATAAATCTTTCAGTATTATATAGTGACCTCTATTGCCTAATGCTTTCTTCATTTAAGTCTCCTTTGTCTCATATTACTATAGCTGCACCAACTTTCTTTTGTTAGTGTTGCTTTGTGTATTATTTTACTTTGAAATATTAAGGGAAAATGTTTCCTAAAGATTCCTTCTCATTAAACTACATGGATGATCAATAAATGAAATGAAATGGGCTCTACAGAGTTAACTTAGTCCTGAAAACTAGTTTATCAATACTAATTGGTAAAACAAATACCTAAAAATTAATTTCAGGATAATTAAAATAGGAATGTGGAGATTGTGAATGCAATGGGGTGAGGAAGTGAGGTGGTGCTATCACCTCCCATATCCAGCAAAACATGTTTAAAAAGCCATCTGAGGACAACTCATGTACTGAGAAAAGGTAACATCACCTGAGTGAGAAATCCTAGCATAATTTAAACCCGAAACTTATTTCAAGTCATGCTTCCAAATCAACTTGATTACATTTATCAAAGAAGCAAACTGTTCTAGATGACTGCAATTCAAATTAAAGGCTCACTTAGGACTTCGACATGTCTCTGATGAAATGAAATGTGATTAGGCTAACAATGCCAAGAAGGCAGGAGAAGAAATACACTAAATTATCAAGATGCCAGGTCTTTTTGGAGATGGCTCACTGAATCAAATTAATGTCAAATTAAAGAAAAGATAGATAAATTTCTCTGAGAAGCCAAAGTTAGCTTTTCTGCACTGCATATGTCAAGGATTTTATGAGGACAAAGTAATACTACAAGATAAGAGACTGGTTTCTAGTCTTTTCTTTGTGACTGAAGAGCTGTATGATCATAGACAAATCATTTTCAGCTCTAAGACTTAGTTTCGTCACCGCTAAAATGGATAAAATGAATAAAAATTTCTTGATCTATCTTCCAAATCTAACCATCTACAAGTCTATGAAATCTAGGTAATTCCTAGGAACAGCATCATAACTGAAAGGGCATCAAGTGTCTATAACATCAAATTAATTGCTTCATGAAATGTAAGAAAAGCAAATTCTGATAAAATCAGCTGATTTTCCTAACATACTCTAAAAACCATCCAGAAATGTGCTAAGATACTCTTTTCTAAAAGGAAACTTTAAAGCATACCAAAACTCATCCTAGATAGGTCAATATAATATGGGGGGAAAAAAACTTAAATATACTTAGTTCTAGAAGGGAATCAGGTATGGTTAACCATATAAGTATCTACTCAGGACATTCTACGAAGTTGTTCACTTCCAACTTGTCTCTCCTTTAATCATTCTGATCAGAGAAAAGTGGGGTTGAGAGCCCAGCAATATACTAAGAGTTAGAGGCTGCCATCCATAGATTTGATGGTGCCCTGGATGAGGCCACCTTACATGTCACAAAGGAATCTACCAAACTTCAAAGTTGTTTTCAAAGCAGCAGCATGACTGTCAGGCCTGGGTGGGGTTGGCAGCCGAACTGGATAGTCAGGGAAGCGGTGCTTGTTCTTGGTACTGATTTGTATCTCTATTATTGCTGGAAATTACAGGAAGTGAATATGAGGACAGCAACATGATGCAAGTTCCAAAGCTCCAGTAGATTAGATAAGAGAAAAAAATGTAAGGCACCCACAAGATGAAAATGTATTTCCCTTTTTGTGTTCTAGTCCTGGCATGGTCTCCACAAGGAAGATAACATATCAAGGTAAGAGTTTTTATGCCCCAGAGTTTTCACAACCCTTTACTTTTCCATAGTTTGGAGACACTGCACCATGCTATCTTTATCAATTAATACTTCCATTATCAATACATCTAAAGGTGTTTCCAGTTTTATGTGAAATTTATTTTGTATCTCTGTTAATAGCATAAAATGAAATAGATGTCAAAATAAGTAAAATTTACTGAATAGCATTGAAAGAGGTTTTCTTTTAGAGTTGCAAAAAGTTCCACTCTTTCAAATCCCTGTTTTGGTCATCTTCAACATCAGAGGGACACAGAATGGAAAAAATCATTGTCGTAAGGAAAATAAAATAGATACCTATTCCTTAGAGAGCTTAGTCAGTGATTTAGGTACTAGCCACAGTCATTTAGCAAAGATCCCTCTTTTTCCTTTTTCTTTTTTTTTTAATTAAAGTTTATTGGGGTGACAATTGTTAGTAAAGTTATATAGTTTTCAGGTGTACAATTCTGTAATACATCATCTATATATCACATTTTGTGTTTACTACCCAGAGTCAGTTCTCCTTCCATCACCATATATTTGATCCCTTTTGCCCTTATCTACCACCCTCTCCCCCTTACCCTCTGGTAACCACTAATATATCGTCCATGTCTATGAACTTTTGTTTCTTCATTTGTTTGTCTTCCCTCTTTTTCTAGTTTTACCTCATGAGCCACTGATCTAGGTGTCTTTCCCTGACTTGATGAAGGCAAATTCTCCCAGGAATTCAGGTCTTTTGTATTAGAGTCATCTCCCTTCTGATCTTTTCCTGAACAAAGAGAAGGAAAGAATTGATCAAATGCAAAGGATTACACAGAAGAAAAGGTTGAGTCTGAATGAGAATAGCCAAGTTGCACAAAGAGCATTTTTACCTACTTTTCCCTTTTAGAGTCATCTCATCTTTATCTCCTATGTTAATCACTTTTCACCTTGCTTTGAAAAAAATAACAGCAAACCTGATCCTTCTTCTAGGATTATCCTCAGAAGATTGATTTTTGAGCAGTCCCTTTGTTCCTACTTCCATAATAGTCAACAAAGTATTCTTCAGGTAAATCCTAAATGTATACAACCTACAGAAACAATGCATTGGGATCTACAGAACACAATTCTTCTGTGTTTCAGAATCTACTTCTTGGATAAACAATAGTGCTACATAATTCTCACTTTAACTGCTTGTATTATTACTAATAAATAAATTAACAATCTGTTATTGTATACAGAAAGTTGTTTCAGGCTTTATTGAAGAATGTAATATGAGTCATTCCTATAAAACTCATTGCTAGTTTAATACAAGATTGTTGCTAATTACTCTGTTAATTCCACTACACAGAATCTTTTAGGTGAAAGTCAACAGAGATTTTACTCTGATCTTAGAATTGAGCCCTCAGAGTACTGCTTCTTATATCATGGCAGCCTTAAATATTATAATTTAGAAATCTTGTGACACAGCATCAACAATAAAAAATATGGTAAACGAATATGTTGAACACTAAAAAGTGCATTCTTGAATGTGTTAAAATCAAATAGAAATTATAAACTACTATAAATTTTTACAAGTATATATTAAGAAATATCAATGAGAAGACAGCCTATCAAAACTAATATGAAGTAGCTAAAGCAGTGTTTAAGGAGAAATGTATAGTTTTAAGTATTGATAAAAAAGACAGAAAAAATGACAAAAATGAGTTTTGTATTCAATCATAAAGGCCAAGGATAACTGAGGGAACCCAAAAAAAGAGCAGAAAGGGAGATATCACAAAGAAAAATAGCAAATAGAAAATAGGCTAAAATAACAAAATAATCAACAAAATCAAAGAAAAAGTCTTTGAAAAAGACTTAAAAATACACAAATCTCATTCACTACTCAATTAATAACATTAAAAATTTAAAAAAAGCACAGCCATAGATCCAACCATCCTTTTTAGAAGTAATAAGCAAATAATATTTAGAATAAGCAAATATGGGTATTACTTTTAGAATAAAAAATACTTCAAATTTGATAAAGTGGAAATTTTATAAAGAATTATAAATTATCAAAACCTACTCAATAATATGTAGAAAGCCTGAAATAGAATAATAACCACTTAACAAGTTAAACTAATAATCAAAAATCTTACTCAAGGAAGAAAAAGTCATCTGGGCCCAAACAGGTTTCCAGATGAGATTCTGTCAAACTTTCAATGAAAAAAAAAACCTGATATGACCCAGCAATTCCTCTTCTGGGTAGCTACCTAAAAAATATGAAAACATGTATCTGTAAAGGTATATGTATCCCCATGTTCACTGGAGCATTATTCATGGTAGCCAAGGCATGGAAACAACCAAAGTGTCTTTTGATAGATGATTGGATAAAGAAGATTTGTCTTTGTACATATACACAATAGAATATTACTTGACCGTAAGAAAAGATGAAATACTGCCATTTGCCACAACATGGATGGATCTTGAAATTATCATGAAAAGAAAAATAAGTCAGACAGAAAAGCAAAGAAGAATGAACATGGTGGTAAGAACAGAAATGAATAAAATGAGAAAAATAATAAAATGGGACTGACACCTGATTTATTGAAAAGATCAATAAAATTGGGCAAATATCTTGACAGATGAATCAGAAAATAAAAGAGAGAAGAAACAAATAATCTCAGGAATGAAAGGGAAGACCTCACTATATTTTCTACAGAAATTTAAAGGACAGTAAACAAGTACTATAAATAAGTTTGCCTGTAAATTTGACAACTTAGATGAAATGAATAATTTGAAAGACATAATCTACCATATCTCACCCAAGAAGAAATACATAATCTGAATAGCCCTATATCTATTTAAAAAACTAATTTATAGTTAAAAATCTTCCCACAAAGAAAACACCAGCTTCACTGACAAAGTCTACAAACCATTAAAGA